GTTCTACTCTGCACCGCTCTAGGCACTATCTCAGGTGTTTTCCTGTGCTTGAGCGTTTTTATAGGGGTTTTTAAGGGGTTTATAGGAGGGGATGCTTACGTTGAATAGGGAGGCGGAGAGGGATTGCGTGGTGTTGTTGTTTGCGATGATGATGCAGCCGCGAATCATGAGCAGGAATTCAGACATGCCGTTATCGAGGTAGCTGGATTGAAAGGCGAGAGCCATGGTAGCTGCGATTCGAGCGTCTTGCTCGGCTGCAGACTCGGGGGGTGTGGAGAGGGCTTCGTGGAGGGAATTCAGGGCCAGAATGCGGTGTTGGAGTGCTTGTGCTGTGAGACTGGAGTGGGACATGGGGTTGAGATGTGAAGCGGCCAATGCGAGGATGGAGTGGATGAGGTATTCGTACTGGGTGAGATTGAGCCCTCTTGATACCAATTCTTGCTTGGCCTGGACGTTTTGTATATACTTACGTTGTGTATGAAGCTTGGTATCATACTGGCCCGGATTTTATCGCCGCAGAGAGGTAGGTCCGGATATACGGTGACGAGAAAACGATGAAACAAGTGCATATCTGCCATGGACTTCGAAAGAGAACAGTCAGTAACCCGACGAGTTCCTCATGTGTCGACATCACAGTCGACTTACGAACATGCCCGGTGTAGCCTGTAGACCATCCAATGTTTGTGCAGAGGGAGAGGTAGGAGGAGATTTTTGCGTCGATGTGTGCAGAATCTTGACTGGATATTCGCACTGCAGTCCTGCTTTGCCACAGTGATAGCATTGTGGGTGTGTTTCGCTGCACTTTATCCTCCGCCTCTTGCAATTATAGCAGCCTCGACGAGATTTCGTGTGTCCCTTTCTCGGTATCGGCTTTCTCGGCTGCGGCGGTGAACTGACAGTCCGAGATTCAAATGGAGAGGGTGAGTCGCCAGACACATTGCTCATCAAGGAGGGATCGGGAGAAGGAAGCATAGTTTGCAGAGCATCTGTTGAAAAAAAAATAACAAGCTCCCACGCGGGCTACGACCAACTGTCCTCCATATACTGATATGTTTTTTTTGCCTATATGCATGTCTAGCAGCTGCGGCCAGAGCATCACCCACCTATTTGGGGGCCAAACCAAACAATTGGGTTACTCCACTGGTGTGGGCGCTGCAGGGTGATCAGGGGGATGCCAGCTCTTCATCTCCAGCTCGTCTTGGCTGACTCACAGCCCTACGCACCAGGTAAATGGTCTCTACCCAAATGACAATCTAACTCGCTCCCTGTCGTTGCAAGTAACCTTCAGGGTCGGCGAGACCGCCTAGATTAGCTGAGCGGCGTTTACCGTACCCTCACCGGGTCATGCACGTGGCCATTTCATCCGATAGCTGAGTAGTACCTATGCGGTGCATCTTGTTCAGGCAGGCTTTGCGAACGTCGGTGTTGAAGGTCACTTCGTTCGTCTGGGTGTTTAGGCATCCAGACTTTTCCGTCGAGCTCGCTTCTGTGTGTACTAACGGGGGTTTTTAATTTGGGTTTTATGAGGCGTCTTATCCTTGTGTATGCTTGTGGCTTTCTGATGTGTTATTTTGGATATTTCTGGGAGGCAGATTCAAGCACCATCAAGCTCTGAATAGAGATCCTTGAGAACAAGGCGGTTGCCGTAGTGGATAAACGCAATGGCTCGTACCGGTCGCCTGTCATGTAGCAGTGACTACGGTACAAGATGTCCTCCATTTTTAGATTAGTCTGGGCTGATGGCAAGTCTGCCTTGTGCTACAGCGAAACTCAAAGCTTTCGCGACGCGGAGAATCATTGTGTACTGATTGACGATACCTACAGTACTGGCTCATCACTTACACCTTTCGTGTTTTCTTCAGATCCGGCCCGCTTCATGTAGGCCCAAGATGCACTGGGTAGGTACAGAGACGAGTAAATAGCGACAATGGAATTTGTAGCTCGGAGAAAGATGCGAAGACTGCAGGTGGCTGAACAACACCAGGTTTTGCCAAGACAATGTCGTGTGACCCACCTCTCTTCCTGCATGCTTCCCGCCTCCCGGGCGCCGCCCTTCTTCTGTTTTGAGTACAGAGTCCGCTCGCGTCTTTGATGCTACCATATTTATCGGGACGATTGCAAAATCTTCCCTATTCCATCTGCAGACAGCTATGCCCGTTCTTGATATGACATCCACAAGCCTGTGGTTGAAAGGGGCCGCCATACCTAGACGATCCTGCATTGTGTGAACCTATCAGATGAGCGAAACAAACTATAAACCAAGTTCTCCATTCTACAGCTGTATCGCAGACCCCGCGCTGGTATATATTTGGACATTTGACTAAGCCTCGGAGCGCTTCTTGGGTTCCTGGTCTCACTAGCACGCACGGGACGCTTAAAAGGTTTAGGCCCCCAAAAGAACGGCGCTCTTAGATTCTGTTGGACGGCACATCTGGAGCTACGCAGCAGGAGATTACTCCCACTGGATGCACTGCCTTTGGCAATGGGAACAAACATGAAACATGGCTGGCGTTGCGACCCAGTGGTGGGAAGCCACATGCATTTATTTTTGATGGTTGAAAAGACCTCCAGTTCAACATAACTTTAGCAAGTAAGTAAAAGACAAAATCTTAGGGGGAACGAAGCTGTAGGCCTTGAATATTTTTTTACGAGCATATGCAACTTCGCCATGCTTGGAGTCTCAAATGGGCCAAATGTAAACCGAGTGCTAGTGTGGTGCATGACTTGAAAAGATACACATTCATTGGCTGGTTGTTTCTGCGACTTATGTTGTCAAGAATTGGAGGCGCCTGCAAAGCATCGGAGACAAGCTTGATCTGCTATGGATCACTTTGTCTCTTCACCACATGCACGGTCATCGGATGCGCGGGCGTTGTACCCGCAAAACGTTGTGGTGCCTTGGTAAGACAGCAGTCTCTTACAGGCTAGCACAAGGCCAATGATTTGGTTATAACTTCAAGACTGGACTAGCTGACACTAGGCATTTTTATACATCAAGTGGCGTGGACAGACTAAAAGCCGTTGTGCAACATGCTTACTCATGGAAATGCACAAACCCGAATTAGGAGAATGCCGTTTTATATGATCCTCGACAGCGATGATCCTGTTAGATCGCCGGTGAAGGAGGATGGTTTGGAGTGTCCTCATGCCTCGGTCCATTTCTCAGAGCTGTCGTGCTTACGGTATGGCTTGTGATATATTTGTATCTGCCGGTAAATCTGTGCAGGATAGAACGCTGTCGCAGTGACAGTAACCTTGAAAAGCGGGCATCGTTGCAGTGCTCGCGCAATTCCACGAAGTGATCATCTTGGCAATATATCGATTGGCGAGGCTGCAGATGTGACAAAAGCGTCTCCAATATTCACGCGCGGTGCAGGAGACGCTGGTTACTTTATCCTGGATCAGCAGGTTACCAGCTGTATGGATATTCTACCCCGCAACATGTCCCACCGATCGATCAGGAACACCAGCTCTTCCAAGATGACGTCGCCCATTATGATCTCGATTGAATGTAGCAGCAACCACAGAACATGTGTTAGATTCTCCCGCATAGGGCTGTCTTTGGACTATTCGAACAATGATCTTTCATATCTATTGCTACTTTAGCGTCTTTGTACAACTCACAAGGTCCGCACGAGGCGATAGCCATTCGCGATCACCTGAGACTTTGGACCTGCGCGAATGGATCGACCCATTGATTGGAAGTAGAAGCGGAGGCAATGTTTTCGTAGGCGCAACTTTGCCATACGGCATGGCCAAAGGCAGGTAACCGCGACTATCCAGTAGAACTAGATATGCTGATGCCTCGTCAGCCGTTGCAGACGTAGATGGCGAAAAGACGGGAGGATTCTCCACAGATGGCAGTAACATCACGGGATTCTCTGCACTCCACGACTCTGGGACTGGAGGCAATCCGAGCCTGGGCAACTTTCCCATCTTTCCACAAATCTGTCCGCAAGACGATATCAATAGCTGCAAGTTCCCCATTGGCGCACGAGCGACTCCTTATCGCAACGACTCTGTCAAAGCACGACCTGGATACTTCGCAGTCACACTTGAAAATGGAATCCAGGCAGACATGGCTGTTTCTGAACACGCAGCGCTTTTCCGCTTTGACTTCTCACAGACTGCCGCCAGAAATAGCAGTGCTAGCCCGCTGATCTTGATAGATCTTACGGATCTATGGGCAAGTCGGCAGAATGCTTCTATCAGTGTAGACGCCATGCCAGATGGAAGATCTGGCCGGATCAAAGGAAACGGTACATTTCTCCCAAGTTTTGGTGCTGGATCATACCAAGCATATTTTTGTTTGGATGTGACAGGAGGAGCGATTAAGGACTCTGGTGTATGGGTCAATGACCGAGCGGGCACTGAGCCAAAAGAGTTATACGTCACGCGCGGCTTCAATCTCTTCTATCTACAAGCCGGTGGCTTTCTACGATTCCAAGGACCCCTTTCTGGGCCTCTCCTCGCCCGAATGGGTCTCAGCTTTACCAATACTGAACAGGCGTGTGGAAATGCTGAGCGAGAGATACCTGGTCCCGACTTTCACTTTGAACCTCTGGTGACAGCGGCTGAGAGCGCATGGCGCAAGAAAATCGACCCGATATCGATGATACCCGGTGGCGTGGAGAACAGCATACAGAAAAGCTTCTGGAGTGCCGTCTACCGAACCATGATCTCCCCCCAAGACTACACGGGCGAAAACCCACACTGGAAAAGCGACGAACCATACTTTGATTCATTCTACTGCATATGGGACATGTGGCGTGTTCAGCTGCCCTTCCTCACAATACTAGATCCTGCGATGATGTCCAAAATAGTGCGCAGTCTTTTAGATACTTACAAGCATAGAGGATGGCTACCAGACTGTATGATGAGCACCTGCAAGGGATGGACACAGGGTGGCTCAGATGCAGACAATGTCATCGTGGACGCGTACGTCAAGAACCTGACCGGTATTGACTGGGAGCTCGCCTACGAAGCCGTGCTCAATGACGCGCAAAACGAGCCTCTGGAGTGGAGTGTAGAAGGAAGAGGCGGACTCACCAGCTGGAAACGACTACATTACATCCCATACCTTGACTTCGACCCCGTGGGCTTTGGGACAAATTCTCGAAGCATATCACGCACGCTCGAATACGCATACAACGACTTCAATCTGGCCACGTTGGCGAAAGGACTGAGAAAGGATACTCACGCCACGTATGCAGAACGGGCCAGAAATTGGCGTAATCTGTTCAAGCCCGATCAAACATCTTCAATAAATGGCACAGACACGGGCTTCAAAGGCTTCTTCCAACCAAAATATCTAAACGGCACCTGGGGGTATCAAGATCCCATTGCCTGCAGTCCCCTCGCAGACTTCTGCTCGCTTACCTCGAACCCTTCTGAGACTTTTGAGTCTAGCGCGTGGGAATACATGTTCTTCGTGCCCCATGACATTGGCAAAGTGATAGAATTGCTGGGTGGGGAAGACACGTTCCTGAAACGACTTGACTTTTTCCATTCATCAGGTCTAGCAGACATTGGCAACGAGCCCGTCTTTTTAACAGTCTATATGCCGCATTACGCAGGACGTCCGGCGCTATCTGCAGAACGCGTTCACTCTTGTAAGCCTTCTGCGTCATAAATTCTCCAGTTATACGTGGCCACTCACACAAGCACCCAGATATTCCCTCCCGCTTCAACACCTCCCAAGCCGGCCTCCCCGGCAACGACGATTCCGGAGCAATGGCTAGTTTCACAATCTTCAGCATGATAGGTCTTTTCCCCAATCCAGGGCAGAACGTCTACTTCATCACTCCCCCGTTCTTCGAATCCGTCAGTATCACAAACCACATTACCAATAACACGGCTACAATTCGCAATGTTAATTTTGACGCGCAGTACGAAAGGATTTATATACAGAGCGTGAAACTCAATGGAAAGAAGTATACGAGGAATTGGATTGGACATGAGTTTTTTACGGAGGGGTGGACGCTGGAATTAACGCTTGGGGAGGTGGAGAGCGATTGGGGTAGGGGGGTTGGGGATCGGCCGCCGAGTATGTCGGATGGAAGGGGCGAGGGGGAAGGTATGAGCGCGTTCTAGAGAGTAGTGTAGTGTCTACATCGACGTTATCCGTGTTAGTATGTTTAAGCTAATACAATTGATCGTTCACGGACGGAAATGTATACGTATTACAAATTCGAATATACAGCTCATCTGCTTGACGTGCCTAGATCCATACGTACATACCGCTTTACCACATTCCACTAATAGCACTTTGATCTGAAATTTCTTCGATAATGAATCGACATCAATGACCCCACATCCAGGCCGAGCTGATTTACGTGAGCGTTAAGAATGTTCTGATATTATGTGTGTGCAAATGGTTAGATGATGCTATATCATGTCCAAAGGAGTAGTTTCTAAAATAGTGGGGTTAATACTGTAGAACAATGTAATTACCCAATTCCTACCAGCCGTTGTTCACTAATAACTCCGAGGTAGCTGAAGAACCTTCTCCCCAATGTAATTCAGAATCATCTCTCTGCTCACAGGCGCAATCCGGGGCACCAGACACTCTCGGAACCATCTCTCGACGTCGTATTCCTGAGCGTACCCCATCCCTCCATGCGCCAGTATGGCTCTCTCACAGGCAGTAAAGGCGGCCTCAGCAGCAAGATACTTTGCGCTGTTTGCCGCGACACCAATCGCATCTTGCCTGATCGTATCGTCGGTCTTGCTAGCATCATAGAGCCGTGCAGCATGGTAAGTCGCCAATTTTGCTGCCTCCAGGCGCATGTATGCGTCCGCCAGAGGATGTGCAACACCCTGATTCATGCCAATCGGTCGCTGGAAAACAACTCGCTCTCTTGCATAGCTACTTGCCTTTGCAAGGGCGGCGTACCCAAGCCCTAATGCCTCGCCTGCTAACAAACACCGCTCTGCATTCATGCCATGTAAGATAATCTTGAATCCTTCGCCTTCCTTCCCTACCAGACAGTCGGCCGGGACCTTGTAGTTGTCGAAGAACACTTCGTTAGCATCGACAGCTCGCCCGCCCATCTTCTTGATCCTGCGCATGTCGAGCCCCGGTGCTGATCTGTCGATCGGTATGCAGAACATACTCAATGCCTTTGATGGCGTTTCCGCTTCTTCCCGCGCAGCTGTCCGCGCGAGAAGAATCATCCTGTCTGCGACCTGCGCACATGTGATCCATATTTTCTGGCCCGTGACAGTGTAGGTTCCATCATCCAGCTTCTTCGCTTGTGTACTGAGTCTCAAGGTATCCAATCCAGCATTTGGCTCTGTCACCCCAAAGCAAGTCCTGATCTCGCCACTAATGATCTTTGGAATCGTCTCTTGCAACTGCTTCTCCGTGCCAAACTTGGCAAGCGGTTGTGTGGCATAGACGTTGGCGTGAATCGCTTGCGCTCCCGCCATTCCAGCGCCAGACTCTGCTATAGTTTGCATCATCATCGTTGCCTCGGAAATGCCTAGACCTGAGCCACCGAATGCTTCTGGCAATGCAATTCCAAGCCATCCATCCTTTGCGAGTGCTGCATGGAAATCCTTGGGATCTTTACCTTGCTCATCACGCTCTTGCCAGTATGTATTTGGAAATCTTGCGCATACTGCAGCAACGGCCTCTCTGACGGTTAACTGCGTTTCTGAGAAGCCGCTCGTTTCCATGATGCGTTGACGTGGAGAAGTCGAGAACGCACATATTTGAGGACGTTGTATCTGGAACCTCGTTGTCAGAAAGCGTCCTCTCCGGAAGAGCTGCGATATTAACGGAGCTGGCATAATAAGTAGCAGTATAATGTAGAAGAGTGCGCTCAATGGTTTGGCGCACCTGTGACGTTGTACAGCTGATTCCCATGTTTTCCCAATCGAATCTAGCACGCTGAACATGTAGCCGAACCTGTTGCAAGTAGCCGAGCCGAGCCACCATTAAACATCACAAAATCCAATGCGTTGCCCAAGGTTGAACAACATGCACGGGTGAGCGAGATACTAGGAGGCGATAATTCATGGATTTTTCTATCATGGAATAACACTGTGCGAGTACGGTAGCCACCGTCACTGGGCCCAAGCTGACGAAATCAACACCAGCCTTCTCCGGCACGTCGTGACGTATGTACTTCTTCGCAAATTAGGAGACCAATGCTCACCACCATTCGTAACAACAAAATTCCCCTGTCACTAATTGACCACTACCGTATAATACACCCTTCTGGTGTACCACGGCTGATCTTCAGGTCACGTCCTCACCAACAGCTCAGCCTGAGTCGCGCTGGCATGTCACCGGATGATGGCAACACCATTCTTCTCACAGCGGTTCTGAAACCTGCGCAACTCGTCGAGACCGTCCTCATCTTTCCTGTCCAGATGTGTTTGCACTGTGACGTCCCATTTATACCTGGCTTGGTGCTTTCCCGCAAGATCGAGCATGCAGTGCAGATTATGTGTACATTCTGAAGCGAGTGCATCGAAATCTGGCTCTGCGGTAGGAGAGTGGGTGCAGAGCCAGTCGAGGAGCTCACCATAGCGAGCGGCTGCCTGGGACTCCATGTTATACGGTAGCATCTCCCCAAACATGCTGCCGAGATGGATGCGCACGAACCTTACAGTGCGACCAGAGTTTCCAGATGGCACATCCGCCCAGAGCTTGCAGAACATCATCGATGCCTGGAGCAGATATCTGGTGAATTTCACTGGCACACCCCACTTGGCCGTGTCCTCCGGCACACGGAGGTGAACGCAGCGAAAGCGTGCCGCGTTCAGCCAGAATGCCGACTTTCGCTCGTTGGTCCGCAAAGAGTTGCCCGCAATTCGGAGGCTCCTGGACGAATGGGAACGCGACATGTATGGTACCATGGTCTCGTTCATATCTAGTAACAGCGCAGTGTTGTAGTAGACAACCCAGGATGCTTCCTCCCTCATCGCCTTCGACACTCGCAGCATGTTGAACCGCCCAGCATCCCTCTTCGCGACGATACCATGCTTGCGACATGCGTCTCGTATCTGCTCTGTTGTGTCAGGACCACAGCATGTCCTGACAGTGACAGGATTGTCACGCTGGCTACCGAAAGCAAGACCGAATATCATCTGTCGAACCTCCTGAGGTAAGATATCCATGGTACCGAAGCCACCTTGCCCTACGGTCCACGCAGGACTTTTCGCACCTGCTGGTGGAAAGTTGCCCTGTACGGCACGCGCTCTATACATCTGTCGAAGAGAGGGATATGGAGTGCTTGGAAGCATTGTGGGTGATCTTTGGAAATTAGCATGCTACAACCATTGATGTGTAGCGAGGCTACTTACCTGCTTGCTGAAGAAAAATTGGATGCCTGGCCACGTGGAACGAAGCGCCTATTTGCCTCTCTGAGCCGGGATGTAGATGGGCCTACTGTGAACGTTGGCGTACTTGGTTGACTGAGGAAGATCTCGTAGTCAGACACCGGGCTGTGAGATGTCGACAGCACATTCATGTCGGATGTATCGGAAACTGTTGGAGAGGCGCTTCTCGTCCTGATACTCAGATCGTGATGGTTCGTCATCATGCTCGGGTAGACAGTTGTATTAGTATCACCGGGTGATTGAAGGTATTGGCAATAAGAGACTGCTTTAAAAGGCTCTGCAGACGCAATAGCAAAGATTTGACCATTTTAGGAAATCAAAGCTTTTATATGTGCCTAAGTGCCTCTGCGTTCACATCCTTGGGGAATGTGGATACAAGTTCAAAGCTAGAGTCTCATGTTAGGCTTCCTTCACCATGAAATTTACCAGCGAAAATGTCGCCTTTCACTTTCATCTCATTGCGATTTCTACGCGTAGACTCTTGGCTTTTCTACTGTCGCTCACCGTACTCTAATTTTACTATTGCAGGTGCGTAGGAGGCTCAGCGGTGAGGATATGGGCTACCCCACTCGCTACTAATCCATCGACGATAAATTAAATATACCCACCTTTTCGCTTGCTGGCGCAGTGGGAGTAGACACTGTGGACTAACAGGCGTCCAAGAGCCAAGATATGCAAGTATGTAATGGATACCATAGTGTAAACATCTCAATCTGTTACAATCATTCCTGTGGCTAAAAATACATATTGGACGCTAGTGCAGGCTGCAACTCTGCCCATATTCGTTACATATAAACGAAAATGTTCGAGAGGCGAGACTGCGAACGGCTTGTTTGGATCTTTTATTCACGCTCGTGGTCACTTCGAGACATATTGCGATACTAGAAATGAGAATTCTCCTTGAACTTTTTATTAATTTAGCTTTTTGGGCTATCTTAAATATATACTCATCCTTGCATTCACGTAGAGATTGTCGTAGGGATATCGGGCTGCATCATGTCGTTTGGCAGAAACAGAGCATCCGCGCCAAAGTGTCTGGCCATTGTCATATCTTTACATGTCAAAGCTTAGCGAGAAGTTTCGGGCCCACGAATTGAAATGTGCAGTATATTTTCGATGTGTATGGAATGAATGAATGTGATAGGTGCACCATACGTTGGGATCTTGTATTTCACCACATTTGGCTGTTAGAGCATCACTGACTGCTAGATGATTTCAGCGACAATGTTATCACGATCACAAGTTTCGAATATTTGTGACGATAAAATCAACTTTTCATTATTCATGGCCAAGGTCTATTTCGCAGAAAATAACAAATCCATGCTTGTACCAGCCTCTTCCATTCGCAAACTCTCCGGCTTCATCTATAGAATAGCTATCCTCCTGGACCGAGGAACCTGTGCCCTTGGGACGGTGATCTTAAGAACACCCTCCTTGAAGCTGGCGCTGACGTTATTGGCATCGATTCTTTCCGGGAAACGGAAGGTACGCTGGAAGGTACCATGGGCGCGTTCTTCTTGTTGCGCTTGGCGTGGTTGCACTGGTGCTTCTGGCTGTGGCTGAGGAACCACTGCAGTCTCGGTGGTAGTGCTCGGCTCGACAGCCTTCTCCTTGCCCTTGGGTTCTGCGGGCGTGGCAGATTTGGAAGCGCTTGATGATGAGGAGATGACAGATGAAGTCTCCGCACCTAGATCCTCGTAGTCGTCCTCGACAGTGGGCTGATATGACTTATGCGATTCGGTATCACTGTCAGACGCAACAGCCTGAACGCTGGCTGTCTCCGTCTTGTCGGCCTCTTCATTCTCGGGCTGCGATTGGGTTTGGGCGTCTTCGAGGGCCGCAATAGCTACTGGTTCTGGCTGCTGCGTTTCTTCTGGTTGGGCCTTCTCTGATTGCCACTCCGTGTTGCCAGCGATCCTCAAAGTGTGCTCATCAGTCACTTCGATGTTGATATTGTCCTGAGTAAAACCCTGGATATCACCATCGACCTGCCAGCCCTGTTCAGTCTGGTTGACGGCGAACTTTGCGCGCAACGCTTGCTTCCTCTGTTGCTGCCTTTGACGGTGTGCTTCACGTTGCGCCTCAAGATGCGCTTCAAGCTGGGCTTGACGTTGAGCTTCTCGATCGATCTCGCCTAGCAACTCATCGACTTGGCTGAAGAAGTTGTTGAAAGAAGAGTACTGTGGGCGACGAGGCTGTGGTCGTAGACGTGAGACGCGGTAGTTGTACACTGGCTGTGATGACGGACCGCAGAAGCCAAATGGACCGCACGGTGCTGCCTGGTAGGCGGGTGCAAGGCGTGGAGTAAGCACAAACATGTTTGATGTAATGGGTGCTGTGTGTGTTGTAGCAAGGATGAAGTATAAAGATTTTGTTGAACCAGGTTTCAAGGCGGACGAGGCTCAAGTGCAGATGATCTAGTAGATCTGTAGATGTGGTGTTCTCTGAATTTGATGATGAGCAAGGGGAGAGCCACCAACGATCTTCTTATAGACATTTCAGACAACGCAGGCAGCAACTTGCTACGTATTTGCTGATGAGAAACCTAGATTCGTAATGTGGTTGAGAAAGTTCGTGATGATTGTTGATGTTTCGTGCGCTTTCTAGAAGCATGGGGAAGATGCTAGAACGTTCCACGTTGTGAGTGGCTCTGGACGGTATCGACCCCTTACATAAGCAATTCTGATTGGCTACTTGTTCGTGGACAGTTGACCACTTCGGGTATTGATGTTGACTCGGCACTCAGAGGAACACAACGGAGAAAACGAAGATTTTCTGGAAATGAATAGCTGATTTGTTTGAATTGACTTGCCTTTTTAAGTATGACCGCTATGTTAAAGTGAGATGTTCATGTAACTAAGAGGTTGGCCATAGTGAGTGATCATGACGACGAAGAAGTAGCAGAGAACATAGCATCGCGGGTAGATATACTCTGATCAGTCATCCTCACCCTCTCCATCTGCAACGCCGGTAATTCACAGCCGTGTGCCTGGTAATTAAACCGGCCATCAATCGAGCACGATAACTTCCGATTCTTCGCGTGGACGTTTGAGACTTCTCGTCCCCGTGACCAGGACTTCATCATCTTCGTCTTCGATCAGTCGCTCGCGCTTGATATGTCGTATAGTTTGGTTCTCGTTCTTCAATGCCACATTTTCTGCTTCTTCCTGCACATTGTCAGTATCCAGACAGTGTCTGTGAGACTTTCTTACCTCTCGCATGCTACGTAGAGCTCTACTTAGCACTTCAAAGGTCATATTGTCCTCGTCTCTGTCTTTGGAATCTACACTGGCTGGCGTTTCGTCTACAACAATACGTAAAGCCTTTAGTGCAGCTACCGCGCTCCTTGTTAGTCACTATCGGGCAAGCGATTTGCTATCAACTTACATAGGGAGCGATACTTGAAGTGAAACGTTGCGAAAGGCTCATTGTTCAACACTTCATACTTTTGTGGGTTCTTTGGTGGCCTTGTTCGATACCGTGGGCTCAGCCTGTGATCTCAGTCAGTCAATGTTGCATGAGGCCAGGTGGAGTACGCACGTAGCCTGATGAGAGAGTGCTTCTCCTTTCAAAACTTTCTCAGGGACAGCGCCGATGTTTGACAGGGCAAGTTGGCATCCCCGCCGATCTTGAAATGGCAATTCAATTGCGCATATATTTCTGATCCACCGAAAATTCAAGGTAATGCAACCTTTCTTTTGCAATTGCTCTCGGAGCTTTGGAAGGCTGATGGGCCCTTCTACTTCCTCCTCTGAAAGAAGATGAGTTAGGATGCAATCAAGCAACATACCAGCCTACCAATATTCAGACGGGTAAAGCAGTGATTCCTTCGAAACCACATGCCGTCCTCGTGGAACCCGACACTAAACTTCGTAAAACCCTCGCGCCTGAACAACTCATGTGCGCCGTATGTCCTCGCCGATGTATACCCGTCCACAGTAGTACTAATCTCTACTCCATAACTTGAGGGAAACGGCGTGGTAAACTTGGAGCACATGGAGAACTCTGCCCCTGTCTGCGCTTCGATGTATGTCGTCTTGACCGTTGGCGAGGATGTCTCATCCTCAGGATACTCTCGCAGTGATTCGCCTTTCACAACAATACAAACCTCAAGGCCTGGGCACCCTTCGAGAATAGCCATCGAAGAAGGTCTGGTACCTATGTAAGTATGATTCTGGTTTTGAAGTGCAATGGCGAAGCCTTGCTACTTGAGTCACAAGTGTAGTCACTGTTGCGTGATCAAGCTAGCAATCGAGGCAGGGTTCTTGGATCAGATGTGGATGCTCAGATCTATGAACGGTACCCAGATATTGGCATGTCGTAAATATCACCCTACATATCGTGTTTCGCATGTAGATAGGGGGCTGAGTCCTGATGCAGGAGCAGGCTGTACAAGTATTTAAGCCCGTCTCGGCAAAGCGCTGGGGCCATAGGTAGGTGTCAACAACACCACGAAAATCGCGGAAATTGTATGTGCAGTTATGGAGTCACAGCAGTCATCAGTGGCAATAAGGAGTGTATTGTCATGTCCACTTATAGCAGTTCTCCAATTGAGTCCACATTAAGTCTGTTCTGGGCTAGATGGGGTAGGGAATGGGACACGCATTAAGCGGGTAAACTTGAATAATTCCTCAGTCGGTCAATGACGACGTTGGGAAAGTAGAGAAGGATACATGAGCGATTGACCCAGATTCTCTGTCGTACGACCGTCTGTAGGTCCTAGTTTTGCCCGCTAGGTAAGCGCAACACAACATTACCGGTACCGGTACGCATGCGACGCGATACTTTCACACCCACACTATACCACCACAACACTAAATCGGCGGAGAAATAGATAGAACCGCTCGTAAGGAACCTAACTTGACTCCTACAGAGCGTGTACAAATTGTTGCAAAGGCCAAGGCTGGCTGCAGCACTCAGGAACTTGCTAAGGAGTTTGGGCGTGACGCAACAAGTACTCGCCGGACGATTAGAAATGCTGCCTCGCACCCAAATGGGCGTGAATCACCACGATCAGGACGCCCACATGTACTTTCAGATCATCAGAAGAGATTGATATATCAAGAGGCACGCTCGGAGCCAAGGATTGGGTATAAAAAGCTGGTTGAAGAAGTCTGTATCAATCACTTAGATGGCGCCCCGTTGAAGCTGCCTGGACACACTACACTCTACCTGTTCTTGAGAAGCAGAGGCCTCACCAATCGCCCATGTAAAAAGTCAACGAATTACGAAATGGAAGGAAAAGCCACATCTGCCGCCCTACCAAATGAACTGGAACCCAGGTTTCCAGAAGGGAAACATCAGCCCAACAGCCCAATAAGATTCCGATTGGACTTGCAATACTCGTCGCAAAAAGCCTAAAGCACAACATTAGCACATACCCAACAAATCACCCGTGCCCTGCTTCCTCAAAAAAGACACACTCTCTCTCAAACTCACCCTCGGTAACCCCTCTCTCCCCCCATCATCCACCATCCTCACCAACCCTTCCACCAACCGCCCAACCTCCAGACTCTCCAATCCTGCCAGTGCCCCCATAACCGCCTCCATCGTATCCCCATCCACCCCCGCCGCACTCACACTCATGACATCGATCCCCGCCGGCGTCCGCGTCATCCCCGTAGCAGTGGAATACGACGCGTAATATGGGACGGCATTGGCATCGCAGCCCCAAGCCAGGATACTATACTCGCTCGTGGCGCCGGCGATGATGCCCGTGGCGTTGTAGGCCAGGACGCCTGGGTAGACGGGGTGTAGGGTGTCGATGCCGTAGGTGGTGTGTATGGTGTTGTTGTGTGGGAGTTGGAAGGAGAAGAGGTCGTTGAGGAGGGTGGGGTTGTGGGGGTCGAGGGCGCTGGGGTCGTATTGGATGTTGCGGAAGGCGGTGTATTGGGGGTTGGAGGCGTAGATCATGTGCCAGGGTTTGAGATACCAGGTTGGTGGAGGGGCGTGCCATTTGGTGTGAGGGTAGTTTGGGTCGAGGGCGGGGGGGAGGCGGGCGTGGACGGCTTTGGGGCCGATGGTTGGGGGGCAGGAGGGTGGGGTGGGATGGGCGGTTGTGGTGGTAGTGATGATGGCGAGGAGGGTGATGAGCAGGGTGAGGATAGGGGACATTGCAGTTGGTCTTCAAAGTAGAGTTGCGGGGGAAGATGTGGTAGGGTGCTGGCGGGTATTTATATATGGGTTATCAATACTTTCCACTTTCGTCCTGAGAGAGCAAGAATAAGGCATACCTGAGTAACAATTACGCTGACCACAAAACCTTCCAAGAACCTTCTTTTACCCTTTTCTGCAACCTGATGCTCAAGCACTGCAACACCCGCACCAATCCCCATCAACAGCGCCCAAATTCCCACCCTTCTCCTTCCACCACCACAAGAAACCAAAAAACCGACCCCATTAACCACACTCCACCTCCCCGTACCACCCCGCTTACCCAAATGTTCCACAACAGCCCCCCCAAGCGCGCACAGGCGCCCAGTCAGCAACCTCTGCCTCTTGATCATTGGCCGCTAAGCGCGGGACAAGCAGCCATCTCAGCTCGTGGACAAAACATAAGAGAAGCGCAGGTCAAGGACTTTCCTAACTAGGCAGTTGCTCTCAGGAACTGCGCTGGATGAGTAACCCACGTGGCTGGCACGGAAGCATGGGGTCATCGGCGAGGTTGGGATTTTTGCGGTCAATGAGGATGGGTGGAGGATGGGGGTGTATGCTTGATGGATGGAGAGATATGCTTGATAGATGGAGGGATATGCTTGATAGATGGAGGGATATGCTTGATAGATGGAGGGATATGCTTGATAGATGGAGGGATATGCTTGATAGATGGAGGGATATGAGCTGAAGGGATATGGGATGGAGGGAGATGAGACGGTGATGAGATGAGATGACATAGCAACCTTGAGTGTGGTGGCACGACGTCGAGTCGATGCCTGACAGGCATGCATCCTCGCATAGACAGTTAGCCACTAAGCTTGAAACGCAAGAAGGTGTTCATGCACGGCCAGGTAGAGAGGGAAGGCCATGGTTTGTGTTAAGGAGAGTGGTGGATGGTATACTCACAGTGCAGCGTTTCCCCTGCCCATAGCCTAACTATACAATTTCCAACACGCAACAACAATTCTGGCAGAAGGAAGAAGATCCTCACGTGCCGGATCCACGTGAGGGATTTGTAAACGTAAACTTTCTATTGTCTTTTTTCTATTATCGTCTTGTTAAACACGATTTTCCGCCTCCTGACTATCAAAATTCTCTAAGCCTTCTTATATCCCGCCTCTTCCAATGCCTCCTTCAAGCTATCAATTGCCTTGGTAATATCAGGCCTCTTGGGATCCGTCACACTCACGCCCATGTGTCCAAATCGGATATACTTGGACGCAATCTCTTTGTGTAGGCCCCCCGCGAAGATGACACCCTTCTTGAGTAAGTTGGGCAACACGTCGGGAGGCGTCATGCCGTCGGGCAGGTAGATGGCTGTCATGCCAGTAGCCTGGTTCTCGGGTTTCTCGGCGAGTTGCTTTAGGCCGAGGTCTGCGACGGCCTTCTTGACTTTTTGCGAAGCGGCTTTGTGCGCGGCGAAGTAGTCGTCAATGGGGCGAGAGAGAATCTGCTTGAGGGCGGTGTCTAGGGCGTGAATGAGTTGAGGGGAAGGGGTGGCGAAGTAGGAGGGCTTCTTTGCTTCGTAGTTTTGCATGACTGGACTAGAATTAGCTTTCCTGTCTTCGGGTGGCGCAAGTGGGAGATGCTTACTCGGTAGCCAATTCTTCCACGAGCCAAAGTAGGAAGTAGGTCTTGTCTTTCTCGCCTTGAAGCGCTCAATAGCACATCCAGAGACCATCATGATACTCAGACCAGCGGGGCAGCCAATACCCTTTTGCGAGGCGGTCAGGACAACATCGAGCTTCCAGTCATCGAATCGAATCTCCTCTGAACCAACACTGCAGACACCGTCCACGACGACCAACGTGTCTGGGCTGACCCTGTGGACGAGCTCGCTCAAGGCCTTGATCTCGCTGAGCACACCAGTCGATGTGTCAACATGGGTGACGGTGATCATCTTGTAGTCCTTTTCCTTCAAAGCCTTCTCCACCTCGTCGAGCTGCGGCCGGTCGCCAATGGGCGCCTTGAGCTGTGTGGCCTTGACACCGTACGTCTCAAAGCAGTCGGCAAAGGAGTCGGCAAAGTAGCCGGTGTGTAGGACGAGGACCTCGTCGCCAGGCTCTACCAGATTGGCAGCGACCTGGTCCCAGCCGAGAGTGCCAGAGCCAGAAATGACAAAGGGTTGCGAGGCGGGGTCGGTGGTCTGGAAAAGCTTGCGCAAGTTCTGGAGGACTTGACTGAAGGTGTTGACAAAAGGGGCACCAACATGCGATTCACTGTATGGTGTCAATTGATTGCTTGGCCATGGGTGGAACATGGAAAAACAGAGAGCGTACCTGTAATGGCTCATAGAGTTGAGCACGTCATCGTGGAATTCAATGGGCCCAGGAATGAGCAGCGCGGGATGAGCAGCCTGGCTAGACATGGTTTTGGGGAGCGAGAATGGCGTCGTCTTGATCGGAGTCTTGAACGGTTTGTTGTTTCCACTTTTCGCTTCTCTCCTGGGACTTTTGGGACTGTCGTACACCTTGTCGCAGTCGACAGAGACACGCCTCACTTTGATGCCGCCGGCTTCTTTTGGCTTAGGCTTGACGGTACGGACAATGCGATTGCCTTGCTCGTCCTCGAGATGTGCAATGCGTTCGGTGGAGAAAGGCGTGTTCAATTCGAGAAAAGAGGGCTTTGAGGAGGCCAAGTGGTTGGAGATCTGATCGACGCGGGACTTTGTGCGTGACGACATGTTTGGGCGGGGTACCAGGCGGCTATTCCAGGAAGCAAGCAGTCGACGTGGGGCAGAGGATCTTGACATCCGGTCTTCGGTCGGACGCGCGCGCGATCGAGTTGCAGTCCAATGGCCACTGGGCACAGAAAAATCACTTGCTGGTCGCGCGGAGCTAGATAGATGGCAGATTGGGATGCGTGCCAATTACGGTACTTATTCCTTTGGACGCGCAGCTGGTTTCAGGAGTGAATGAGCAAGAAATGAAAAGAGGTCTGACCGTCGTGCCCGGAGAGCTCAGAGCGTCCGTGTGGGCTGGGAATTGGCGGAATTGGCCGATTTTTAATTGGTTCTTTCTTGTCGCCTTGTTCAGTCCGCCCCTTACTCGTCCAGTCCATGCGAACATGTACACTCACTCAACACCGTAGCTTGAAGAGACCTCGGTGTCTTTGATTTCTTCTACTTGTGTAGGTGCCGACACCAGCCCGACGCGAACCCTTAGACGGACCCGCTCTGTCTAGGTACATGGTCGCGGATCCGATCATGGCAGTTTGGAAGTCATGTGCGGAAGAGGCTCCATCGACGTCCCACTCCCGACCTGTGAAGGGGCCGATCACGTGGCCTTCTCGGTCGGGGACCCAGAACCCGTGGGCCCGTGGTCTGGCGCGGTGGCCAAAGCGGCACTGGGCCGTAACTGGATGTTTGTTATGATCCACTCCCAGGATGTGAGCACCATCAACAGCCAGCATTGAGCAGTTCACGACCGTCCACAACCACGCCAACTCGCTTCTGCATGAACTCCATCGCTGCATATATATAGTCTGAAACACTTACATAACACCTTTTTTTGGGGGGGGAGGGGAATATCCACGGCAGCGACAATGCGCCTGACACGCGCCGCACAGCGCGCCCAGGAGGGCACCGAAGCGATTACTGGCCATGACGACAACCACCACGACCAGGTCGACGTAGCTGACAATACAGAGCGCGCTGCCCTCAATGAAATTTCGGCGAATCCAGCACCAGAGCAAGTGGAGTGCGAGGAGGAGCTGCCGAAAAAGACGCCTGCCAAGACACCTGCGAAAAAGGGAAAAAAAGGTGGCGCAAAGAAAGGCGCAAAAGGAAAAAAGGCTAAAGACTTAGGAGAGCAGCAAGAGGAGGAGCCAGTCCAGGATGCGCTCGAAGACGAGCCCGCAGCGGCAGCCGCTCCTGTGGTGGATGAAGCTGTCGACAACGTGATCGCGGAACCGCAGAATGGTGAGTCCCAAGTGGAATGTGATGAGGCCCAGAATGCAATTGGAAACTGACCCTGATGCGCTATAGGCGAAGTCGAAGTCACTAAGAACGATGAACGGCCCACAACGCCGATCTCGAAACCCGTACGATTGACGCGCCGCCAGTTGGCCGCCATGAAAGAAGAAGAAGAAGAGAAACTCAAAAAGTCACAACGCGCTCCATCCCCGACCCAAGACCCGGTGACGATAGAAGGGACAGTCAAATCTGTAGAAGAAGCAACCACCGGAGCGCATGAGAGCGATGATGCGGATGCTCAAAAAGAAGCCGCGGCGGAGTCAGAGGCGCCAGAAATAGCGAGAGAACCCAAAGTGACAGCTGAAACTGTTCAAGGAGAGATGGCACAAATTCCAGAAGTCATCCCCGAGGCGGTACAAGACAAAGTAGCTGAAGAGCCCGAAGCTCCGCACCATGCCGAGCCCGAAAAAGCGGACCAGCTTGAGCGAAATACGATAAAGCAAGAGTCAATAGAAATTGCACCCTCCATCGAGAGCGATGCACAAGAGTCAACTGCAATCACGCCCTCAGTCCAAGTCACATCAGACGCCGCGACGCCTACGAAGCTCAGCACTAAAGCACAACAAGTATCTGCAGAACAAACAACATTGGCTGCAGAACAGCCTGGTGAACAAGCAATGTCCCCTGAGAGCTACACACCCAGCAGACGACGTGCATCGCGCAGCCCCTCGAAGTCACCAATGCGTATTGAAGAGTCATTCGAGGCCATCGATGCGCTCGAGGAGGCTCTCGACAGTCTCGACGCCGTCACCAGCTTCGACCGGCCCATTGAGGAAGCATCTCCTCGCAAAAAGGCCCTGGTCGCACTCACCGAGAACTCTCAAGTCCGTGCCAAAACGCCCAGCAAGGCACCAAGCAAAACTACCGCCGCGCCGACGAGGATATCAAGAGTTCCCAGCGCTGTTCCGACTGGCATGAAAGCGACAAAAACCTCTCTGGCACGAGCCTCAAATGTTCGTGCTGCATCGACCAAGGAGGGTAAGAGTGGCTCAACGGGGACGGTTGACTACCTGGCTTCGAAGCGGAGACCAATCAGTGTGTCATTCCCAACACCTCCGCCGCCGCCCAAGGGCCGCGCTCCTACCAAAGCAATCTTCGAGCTCTCAAGTAATGGTATTGTGGCGAAACTGAAAGCACAAAAAGAAGAGCGTATAAAGCGAGAGACAGACGGTTTGGCACCAAAGCAACGGCCGATCAGCATGCCTCCTCCACCAAAATCCTCCAAGCCACTTACCAAGCCTGCATTCCAGCTACCAGGTGAAAAGACCGCTGAGAAACTCAAAGCACAGAAAGAGGAGCGTCTCAAAAAGCAAGCTGAAGCTCCTCGGCAATCAATGGCTCGTCCTGTCAGCATCTGCATGGCGCCTGCAACGGCCAAGTCAACCAAGCCAGCTACAAAACCCACAAACTTCCAACTGCCAGGTGCAGCCGTTGCGGAGAAGCTCAAGGCCCAGAAAGAGGAGCGACTCAAGCGACAAGAAGAAGCGGAAGCTGCCAAGAAAGAAGCTGCCATAAAACCACGCACAGCTCCTATAGTACGAAAGCCTGTCACACTCCCCGTACGAAACAACCCAGGCGTTACCATCCCACCTCCAACATCACAGTCACAGTTACAGTCACAATCACAAATACGACCCCCATCTCAACGCTCCATATCCACGTCCGCCACCTCAAACGCCACCAAACGCAACAGCGTCGCCCTATCCCAATCCCGCTCCACATCTACTTCATCCATATCCGCCAATCGCGCCAGTATTATCCCCACTAAATCTACAGCTACACCTTCTGACGCGGCCATCCAACGCGGAAGGGGAAAAGAAGTCTTCAACAGGAACAAAGCGGAAAAGGAAGACCGTGAGCGCGAAAGGACGGATAAAGAGAATGCGGCGAAGAAGGCGAGGGCCGAGGCGGCGGAGAGGGGGCGTATAGCTAGTAGAGAGTGGGCGGAGAAGCAGAGGAAGAAGATGATGGCGGCTGCGTCGTGAGTCTGCGGGTGACTAAAGATGAGGTGGGGTCTTGGGAAAATGTTTGATGGAGTATTTGGGGAGTTGAGTCGAAAGGAGGTGTGGGCGTTATTGGCTGGGATATGGGACTTTCCTTTTCTTCATTGGGTATTTCGATTGTTTCTACAGCGCCGGGACTCTGATAGAAACACGCGATTCTGGGTTTCCGATACCGATGCCGATACCGATGGCTATGGGTATCAAGTGACTTCTTTTCTAGTACATGCACATTTGGCCGACGTGGTACGCATCCATTGGCCAAGCTGGTCATTTTTATCGAAGCTTGGTTGAGTAGTGAATGGAATGGAATTATCATTCAACATGTTGCATTCGCTGTGCTTGCTTCCATTCCAGTATAGTTTTTACAGCTTACCCTACAAACTCATACATAGCAGCACACTAACATGAACAATCCACTCATGCCCATTCCACATCCCCAGTCAACAGCGCCTCCGCTCACGCGAATCAAACACACACACACATACACCGCGGCGCTTCTCCTGCACCGTGTCCGGAGCCATATACGCAGCTGTACATATACCGAGTCCAGTATAGTACTATAGCATGATTGCTGATAAATATCCACACATTAGCAAGGGCAATTCATCCACAATGGCGATAACTAGCTATACAGTGTTGATGACTCGTTGGGGATGTACATGCCGCCTATATGCTGATCCAAAGTAGGACCTATATGCTGACCCTGGGGGGGGACGTTGTACCGGTCGAATCAGACGGATGGTTTGTGGAATCATGGGATATGGTTTAGGAATGGTAGATAGTACTATACGCGTGTGTACATCTATCTACCTACCACACACTCTCTGGTACCATACTAGAACACAATTCTACGATGAGCAAGTCAAGTCAAGCAGATAAACCTGCACACACAAGAAACCATGATGGACCAAGACTGATACTAACTGTACCTAGTATCACACTCCGCCCACCTAACCTACTGTAGGTACCATTTCTTAGCTTGATCAACCGCCGATCCTCCACTTCCCCAATCAAGCCCTCATTCACTCAGACACACACACACACACACGCAAATCGAGCTTCATGCTTACATGCCTTCTTACCCAGGAGAACTTCACGCCCAAGACCTAACCCAAATGAAACCCCCACGTCCACTCCGTGGATACATGGCATCCCTCTAGCATGCGGCTCCGTGCACCTTCGCCGCGTCCGTCCCTTTTATACCCAGCACATGTACTGTGGACAGCATCGCATTCAAACCCAGAACCTCCTGTCCAATTGCTCAACGTCGGTCCCGTTTAAGCCTACAGGCTACCGGTAAAGGCTACAAGTAGAGTTTACTATGCCAGGCCATGCTATACTATGCTGTGCCATGCTATGCTGTGCTGTGCCATGCCATGTCACGCCCTCCCATACAACGCCAAACAACGCCATTCCCGAACCCGCGCCCCACGTGCCCGTCCACCCGGCAAACAAACACAGACACGTGTTTGCCACTGCACGCCCATGCGCGCAGATCGAGCGGAACGTTTGGACGAGGTTGGTATCACAGTGTGTACTCTTACGGGATAGGGATAGGCGGCAGAAGTTGTGGATGGGGGGTTAGTGTGGTGGGTGGGTACTCCCGGAGCGGGTGTGCGTATGTGGATGGGTAGGGAGGGGGTTGCTGAGTAATTTGGGTTGGTATACCGGGACATACTCTGCGGTGGGTGATTGTTGTGTGTGGTTTAATGTACGGTAGGCTAGTAGGGCCGAGGTTGGGGGTGATGACGTTGGTTGGGTTGGTTTTTGGGAAGAGGGGAGGGGAGGGGAGGGGGATGGATGGGTGCGGATGTGGTTTTTGGTGGATGGGTGGTTTGTTATGGGATGGATGGATGGCAAGTAGGGATTGAAGAAGTAAGCAGGGGGCGGGTGTGAATAGAAGAGCATTGAAGTAGAGTAGCTAGCCTGACCACATATCCCACCACTTTTTTCCCTTTTCGCCATACAATATCTAATCCATCACCACCCTTTTCTCCGCCCCCATTTGCCATTCGTTTTAATCGCCCACATCACTCCCAAAAAAAAAAAACAAGCCCGCTAACCCATCCGCCCGTCCGGCAGCCCGTCCGCTCCACAAAAAAGAAACCCTCCCCCCCAAAAATCCATCCCATCGTCGGACTTGATCGGCCTTACTCCACCGTAGTCGCTTCCCTACCCTCCACATTGCCAATTATCGTGCAGCCCAATTCCACCGACACAGCCACAGCCACCAACCACGACTTAGTCAAGACGGTGCGTAAGGTATTGTGCCTCAGCTACGGCGTGTGTGTGTGTGTGTGTGTGTGTGGTGTCTACCGGCCACACACGCGGCACAACAAACAACTTCCATGCACGACTCCATGCGCGACGTACGTCAGCCGCGCCAGCAAGCGCAGAGCCTCACCGGATGGTGTCTGGGTGCTGGAGACGGACAGTACACCTGGATATACCGGTACGCACTGTGTCGTGTATTTCCCGCGCACCCATGCTTCTCCTTCCTTTTCCCTCTCCACTCTCCACTGTTTCGAGGTACAGTACTGTAGGTGCCTACCGTACACGCCAGGTGCGCCGGGAGGAATCTCCACCATGTCCACGCTGTAGGCACGGTGCCGGTACCTAGGAGATCCATTCTTTCTCTTCTTTTTCTGTGCCCAACGTGGCCCCGATTCACTCTCCTACCTAACCCACCAACACCACCACCCTGCAAACTTTGCAAAACATGAAAAATTGAAAAAACCCCCACCCACCCGCTCAGCCTCACTCCTGCCAAACCTGCAAAACCTGCAAATTTGCAAACCTCGACACTTTGATGCCCAGCACAGGATACCCTACCGGTGGCCCTATGCATCCCAACATCTCGCCTCCCATCCGCCCGAGACACCGAGATGGAAATGGCGAGGACGATGGCGAGGGCGATGGCCATGGCGATGGTGAAGGCTGATAGTGCTGATAGTGTGGAGCCGCAGATCGGATCGGGTGTTTTTAGTGCGGATGCGGATGTGGTAATTTGGTGGGCATGTTGATTACACAGGTAGGTAGGTAGGTAGATAGGTAGATAGGTACCAAGGTACACATGCCGGGCTAGATAGCCAGACTTTGAGGCGTGTGTGGAGGGTAGGAACGGATGCTACTAATTATTTCTGGCCATCCTAGATTATGCGTGTGAATGTGTCAAGGTATACAGTACATCCAGCCTACGCACCACAATCCCCCATCCCCAACCAACCAACCTCTCCATCTTACTACTACCAGTACCCTATAGTCCACATACCCACTACGAAATCGAGATTGAAACTTTAATTCTCAATCTCTTAATAAGCCGGGGTTTTCTTTTCTTCTTCTTTCTTTTCTTTTTTTGGCTGAGATGGGGGTTCTTGGCGATGCTGGAGTAGGGCTGGGTTGGAGCTGGGGGTTTTGCTTTTTTTTTTGAAGAAGGAGAAGAAAAAGGGAGGGAGGGGGAGGGCAAGGCAAGGGGTTTGTTTGATTTGACTGGACTTTGATTCGACTGTTACTCGACCTGACAGACATTCATCCGACTTGACCACATTTACCTACACCAAACCCCCGATTCATTACACATCCACCACTCAACCTGTCCCCTGGATAAAAACCATACCCACAATTCCATCCCCTGCCCACAAAAACCACACAAATACCGCAAGAGCAAAACACACCATCCCAAACCCAACAAGTCAACCCCCCAAACCACTCGAATACCGTAAGGCGGGGGAGATGATGTCATGTCACATCATGTCACGTTATAGTACCGATATGATGGTATTATGTACCCTACCCTACAAAAGTAGAGCAGGAAATCTCTCGAGCCAGCTGTTGTGATGCGACACTAATGCGATACACACTATGCCTGATCTAAAAAAAAGGAGGTTTGAGCGATTTAGCCAGGGTTACGTGTTATTCCATGTCAACAATACCTGGGGAGTGCACTCGATGCAAACGAGAATAGAATGGGAGATGTGTATGCGACAAAATTAGGATAAGAGCTTAACCGGGCTTGACAAAACCGAGACTGGCATCGACATGGATTAGGTTATCAGGCTGTCAAGACCCAAAAAGGGGGAAATTTGTTTGTCAACAGCAAAACGTCAACCGGGCAGACACAAAACCAAAGTATCCAGCGTTGCGGAAATCTCATCGGGGACGTGCAATCTACTCCGGGCCGCGGTGGTCAGTGTTAGCCAGGCGATGGGACCACATGGTGAAAGTCTGTGGGTACAATAAAGGATGAGGTAGATAAGTACAATAGTGGCCGTCTGGTGCGGAGTGGGCTGGTTGCTAACTGCAACCCTGCCCTTGTTTGTTTTCGTGTGCCCCTGGCAAGGAACACGATGCGGTACTACTATACTATACGGCCATAGCAGAGTCTGCCCTCCTTGCTATGGAAAGAAGAAAAAACGAAAAATTGGCGGCTACTACAGAATTGGACATGGTCGGATTCTCGGATCAGTCGACCGAGCGCATACTCCAAGCGAGACGGGCTTTGCTCTGCCCACGCTGGCGTGACTGCTGGGATGCTGTGCGACAATGGGTAGTATAGTCATAGTATCATGATGCGCGCATGTCATACAAACCTCTGGCTGGGCACTAGCTGCTGGAGAATCGTGAGATGGCGAGCGTGCTGCAAAGACGTGCTCGTGTCGTAATCGCTGGGACGGATGGCGACCGACGACGCTTACCACAGTAGACGTTGGTGTCCCCATGGCCCATTGTCCGACTGTGTACTGTCGGCTCTCCCAAGTGGAGCCTTTGCTGCGCTGGCAAGCTCGCGGCATGGACCGAGAGAGGCGTGGGAGTTGGGCTTGATGGAAGAAAAAGAGGCGAGAGCGCGAGGCTGTGTGGTGCAGTGCGATTGGGTGTGGCGGTTGAGAGTGTAAAGTGAGAGCAGTTGGGAGATGATGATGTCGCTGGTGGTTGCGCCATCAAGGCCTCCTCTGACCGAAATGGCGCATGACGAACGAACGTGGGGTTGGTTTTTCTGTTGCGTGCATATCGGGGCCATGGCATGGGCGGGTGCAGGAAAGGATGGTCCCTGCACAGCCGACCCATGACAATTCGCGGGCCGTTCGTTGATGCGGGGAAGCCAAGCATGGACGGGTCCAAGTCTTCCCAGAGCGGCCAAGGGCTGCCAGCCCACCTTGACCACTTGTAGGCTGCCAGCCGTGGGCGTGCACACTGCCCAGCGCAGGCCTTTTGTAGAGTATCGTACTCTAGCCGAACTTCCAACAGGGCCTGCGTGGTGCCAACTCTGACGGAGGCAGCTGGGAGAAAAGCGTTCCAGGGGACCGGCAGAAGAAGTGGTGCCGTCCGACTGGTGACCCCCCGCTGGAACGCTCAACAAACCTTGGACGGTATGTGTGTCTGTGTGTGGTGTGTGTGTGTGTGTGTGAGTGCTTGTCGCCACACTCGTCGTGCGCAACTCGCCCAGCCCACCAGCATCTTTGTTGGGCGTGGCTGACACCTGGATCGTCCGGGAGAAAGAAAAAAAAATCTTCCTGGCATATCATCTGCGACAGCGAAAACAAGACGTCAACGGGCGCAAAGAAAAAATTAACATTGGCTGAGCCGTAGCCGTCCACGTCGTCTCACTCCGTTTTTTTTTCCTGGCCAGTGTTCCCATGCACACGGCGCAGAACCGAAACTTTCTTTAGGGGCGGCCACGGCAAGCAAACGGAGGACAAAGCACTGGGCCTGGACTTGACTTGTCTGGGACGGGCTGGGAGAGTGTGGTCGGAGGTTGGAGGTGGACTGGTTGCAGTCACGTGTGCTGGGGGTTGACGGGGTCCGCCCGGTTCCATCTGTAAATGACAGTAAGACATGATCGAGTAGGACAGGCGGTTGAGTGAGCTAGTTACTCACGTCACGCCCTAGGACGAGGCGGTCATTCAGACGTCAAAGCCGTCGTTGCGTGCACAGAGAACATGGGAGTGAGCATGGGCAGGGCAGCGGATTCAGTAAAGCATGAACAAGGGAAGACATGGAGACGCATAGAGAGTTAGTGGTGTGCCTTTGTCGCCTCGGACTTGACTGTCCAAGGACGTCGTTCCTTCCATTTGATCTATGCCGAGGCAAGAGAGCTAGCTAGCTACCAAACAGCAAAGAGGGCAAGAGCGGATCATGAGACGCGCGATGACGAAGTCTGTCAGAGTGAGAGGTGTATCCAACCAAGAGAGAAAAAAAGAAGCACCGCAGTGGCCCCGTAAATGTGGGCTATATGCCTCGATGCCTACATGCAGTGAAACCCAACACCAGGCTGCCCATGCCCGATGCACAAAACAACGCAATCCGCGCATTCCTCCACCAAAGAGACCCCCCCGCCAGTCACAAAGGAAAATGGATATTGATACTTTTGTTCTTACACTGTTGTGCAACCCAGGTCAACAAAGGAGATGGTACAGCGCTAAAGGAGAAGGGACAAGGTAGACCACTGTCGGTCATGGTTGCTATGCAGATGGAAACTCCGTGAACCGGTGCCAGGCTCGGTCAAAAGAAGGTGCCGAGATGGATGCTAAAGTGAGGAAGAAGAATGCTCCATGTCGACGAACGGTCGAGTCATTGGTAGATGGATGAGTAGGTAAATAGGTAGGTCGTGAGTGTCGTAATTCCAAGCTCTGCGCGCGGTGGCAGGGCAAGGTCCAAGTGATGTCGTGGACAGACGGTGATGCCCAATGATTCCCAGTCGTTCCATGCTTTAGTACTGGGTGCACCTCCTCTTGATGTCTCGCGTCTGGTCAAAGGACCTCATGTAGGAGTTGAGTTGGGTGGCGGCTTGCTGCGAGATGCCTGATTGGGTTTGCGAAGCGGTAGAGGCCAGTGAGGAGCGTGAGGAAGAGGGTGTGAGGCTGCGCTGGGTGGTGGGCCTGGTTGTGGTGGGTGGTGCAAAGTAGGTGCCGTTGGCGGTGGAGTGGTAGTAGTAAGGACTTGAGGGGCCCATGTCGAATCCTTTGGAAGTGGGAGCCTTGTAGGCCGAGAAGTTGACGGCGGGCGGGAGGTAGAAGCCATTGCTGGAGGATGCCGAGGAAGAAGCGGATGTGGAGAGTTGGGAGGAAGTGTGTGTTTGGGTGCGGCCAGCCTTTTCCAGATCGGCCAGACGACAGGATTGCGAGCAGTAGACGCCATTCTCGGCAATCTGACGGTCGCAGGATAGACAAAAGTCGTTGAAGCACTCCATGTTGGAAGCCATTGGAGGTTGGGTGGGTAGTTTTTGTGTGTGTGTGTGTGTATGTGGACGGTGGACTGGCGAGGACTGAATTTGCCAGTCGATGATGGATGGGATGGGATACTGAGATGGAGATGGAAGTGGAAGTGGAAGTGGAAAAGCAAGACAGGTGGTAGGTGGTAGGTGGTAGTCTTGTATAGAGTAGAGCAGAGTAGAGCAGAGTAGAGCAGAGCAGAGTAGGCAGAAGCAGATCAAAGCAAGAGTCATGCGGTGGTTATATGGCAAGTGTCTGAGCGGAAGGGCCGTGTGGAGCAACGGGAGCAAGGCGATGGAGACTTACTTAAGGCTCAGGCACACACCCACACCCACACTCACAAGAGGAGTGCACACACACCCACTCACACGGGCCTCCTGCCTACATACGTACATACAGCATTGTACATGGGCTTGCTGGGGGCTAGCAGAGGGAGATGATCCTGGTCGGCTACGGTAGCTCCATGGCCAGGGTCCACGCGCAAAAGAGGGTGTCCACTCCATTGCCCAGGTGGGCTCCGCACGGGCTGATGGAAAAAAAGAGGGCTAGAGGTGCAGCGCCAAGGCCAGAGGATTATTTGCAGCCGCCTGCACCGCCAGCTCCCTCTCCTTCCATCCCTCGTCTGCTCTTTCTTGCTCATGCGAATGCCCGACTAGGCCCAACAAGCGCTTAGCCCCGTCCATCTTGCTTGTTCTTGCCTGCATGCCCTGTGCGCCCCTTCCAACCCCCCATCCCAGTCCTGGGCCCTGGCTGCTCCCAGGTTCAGGTGGGTGAACAGGCAGCTTGGCCCACCCACACCCACACCCACACCCCCACCCACACCCAACAACCCACC